CCAAAAATGTATTCCGCAAATCTTTTTTAAACCCATCTTTGTGACAACAATCCCAAACATAAAGACAGGTCCAAGTTTCCGGCACAAATGGTTTTTAATCAAAGAATAAACACAGGGTAGCAAAGCCAATGTAACAGTGTGCACTTAAACACAAACACCTGACAATGAGCTGAGGAATCCAAGGAACTTACGTATACACAGATAATGAACAGGTGTGATAATCAAATGAATTGCCGTAGTAACTAAATAGAGAGGGAAACTTGAACAAAGACAACAGGAAATGAAACAAAACCAACTAAAAGTCCATGACAATGAAAACTAAATGGACAGTTTGTAACAATGTTTAAGCCTCACCTAACTTGTCAAGCGCTACCTAGTTCGACGCTCAAAGTTCAATGCAAAGTGAGAAATTGTCTTTTACAGAATTCACTTTGTAAGACTTACAACAAATGGCTGGTAGGGACTACAACAAGCTATTTCCTGGGTTAGGGACATCACAAACCCTGACATTTACATAAACCCCGCCTCTTGGGAATACGTAACAGAGGGGGTGGGGCTGCTTTAGAGAAAAGGAAGAGTTGTTGTAGTAGAGTATATTATAAAGTATAGCTGTTATGCTCGTTTAGCTACAGGCACGCTACATGTGGTTCTGTGTTTGATTTGGCCACTGTAGTAAAGCCATGGTTAGTCTTCGTAAAGGTCCATAGTTCTGACGACATATATTTGGCTACACTCATTCTACAAAGACAAAACTAACAGTGCTATGCAGTCAGTAGCGATCACTGTAGATCCACAATCTGTAATCAAATAACCCCTTCCAGAACTGTAGTAAACTTTAGTACTAAAGCATTAGTAAGTATAAAAATGTATATCAAAAGACAACATAAACAGCAATAACATTTACAAATAACAGCATATCTAAAAAATATGAGAAAACTACAAAAACCATACCATTCTGAGACGTCCTACTGTATATGAGTTGTGCTTGCATAGGTTCTGCTCGATCCTCTTCACTATATTCTCTGGGTCTGACTCAGGCTCAGATTGATAAGGCAATATTTGCGCCATTGTTTACAACCAGATCACATGCAACTAGAGGTCTACATTGGTCCAAAAAATTATTTTAAAAGTTGTACTTCCTGGAACCGACGCGGACCGTCAATTATTTGAAAGATGGACCCGAACCCGGCCGGGAAGACACAGACCCGACTGGACCCGATCGGTACATATTCCACAGCAAATTGCTATTAACAAGTCGATAAACAAGTTGCTAAAATTTAACTTTTAGTCTTACCTAATGTAAGAAGCCTTCTCCCTTGTACCTGACTGTGATGCACACAATCCTCCTTGCCAAGAAAGTTCCATCCGTCTTATTCCTCTCTTGCCAATTGAAATGCGTAATCCAATTATTCCAGTTTCAAAAGTCCACTTGCTGTCACGGTGATGGATGACAAAGGCGACTTTGCAGTTTTGCATT